TCAAACCTCATTCATCATCAAACATCAAACATCATACATCATCAAACACCAAACATCATACACCATCAAACATCGAACATGAAACATCAACCATCATGAATCATCAAACATCAAACATCGCACATCAAACACCAACCCTCATTGAACATAAAACATCAACAAACATCAAGCATCACACCTCACACATCATCCAACATACATCATACATTATCCAACATCAAACATCATACACCAAACACCAAACATCATTAAACATCATAGTCAAACACCAAACATCATTCAACATCATCTATCATCAAACATCAAACATCAAACATCAAACCCCATTCAACATCAACCACCAAACATCGTACACCAAGAACCACCATACATCCTACATAACCAAGCACCATACATCAATCATCATACATCATCATACATCATTATACATCATCATACATCATCATACATCATCATACATCATCATACATCATTATACGACAGCAGACATCATCATACATCACCATACATCATCATACATCATCATACATCATCATACATCATCATACATCATCATACATCATCATACAGCATCATACATCTCTCATGAAACGCACACCCACACCCACACCCACACCGACACCCACACAATCTCTTTTTTTGTTGTTAGAGCCGTTGGAAACGCGAAACCTCCATCACCACCCTTAAGTCGTCTCACGGACGAACTGCCCGGCCACCATCCCCCGGTCAGCCCTAGTAGTAGTAGTAGTAGTAGTAGTAGTAGTAGTAGTAGTAGTAGTCGTAGTAGTAGTAGTAGTAGTAGTAGTAGTAGTAGTAGTAGTAGGTAGTAGAGTAGTAGTAGTAGTCGTCGTCATAGGTAGCAGTTAGTAGTAGTCGTAGTAGTAGTAGTAGTAAGTAGTAGTGAGAGGTAGCGTAGTAAGTAGTAGTTAGTAGTAGTAGTAGTAGCAGATATCAGTCAGAAGTTAGTAGGTGGAGTAGTAGTAGTAGTAGTCAGTAGTAGTAGTAGTTAGTAGTAGTAGTAGTTAGTAGTAGTAGTAGTAATAGTAATATTAGTAGTTCAAGTAGTAGTAGATAGTAGTAGTAGTATGTAGTAGTAGTAGTAATACAAGTAGTAGTAGTAGTAGTAGTAGTCCGTAGTAGTAGTAGTAGTTTAGTAGTAGTAGTAGTAGTAGTAGTAGTAATAGTTAGTAGTTAGTGTAGTAGTAAGTAGTCGTAGTAAGTGTTAGTAGTAATAGCGGTAGTAGTAGTAGTAGTAGTAGTAGTAGTAGGAGTAGTTCGTATTAGTAGTAGTAGTAGTAGTAGTAGTAGTTAGTAGTAGTAGTCGTATTAGTTGGTAGTAATAGTAGTACATAGTCGTCGTCGTAGTAGTAGTAGTAGCAGCAGCAAGCAGCAGCAGCAGGCAGTAGTAGTAGTAGTAGTAGTAGTCGTCGGTCGTCGTCGGGCGTCGTCGTCGTTCGTCGCTCCTGTCTTAGGTAGTAGTAGGAGTCGTAGTAGTGGTAGTTAGTAGTTAGTAGTGTAGTAGTAGTAGTAATAGTGACTCGTAGTAGTCAACTAGTAGTAGTAGTAGTAGTGTAGTAGTAGTAGAGTGTCGTAGTAGTAGTAGTAATAGTAGTAGGAGTAGTAGTAGTTAGTCGTAGTAGTTAGTAGTAATCGTAGTAGTAAGAGTACTAGTCGTAGTAGGAGTAGTAGGAGTAGTAGTCGTAGCAGTAGTTAGTAGCAGTAGTAGCAGTAGTAGTAGTAGTAGTAGTAGTAGTAGTAGTAGTAGTAGTAGTAGTAGTAGTTGTAGTAGTAGTAGTAGTAGTAGTAGTAGTAGTAGTAGTAGTACTGGCAGTCGTTGTAGTAGCTGCGGTAGTAGTAGCAGTAGTCGTAGTGGTAGTAGTAGTCGTAGTAATAGCGTTCTTGGGCATTCTTGGGCAACCACCAAGAGAAGCTCCAGGAGCCACCGCCTTATGAGCCATCGTTCGTCGGCGAAGCAAACAGTGTAGTAATATTACGGTTTTTTTCGACCGATCGAGGTAGCCTTGCTTGCGCGTGCCGGCGACCGAACTGCTCGCCGCCGCTGCTGCGTTTGCAGGTTTTCGTCGAGTCGGGCGCAGACCGCGCGCGATTCCCGCAGCCGTTCGATGGTCGATCCGATGTCCCGCTCTCCCAGGCGATCCCGAGTTTGCGATCAGATCGAGGGTCGCGTCCGTCTGAGCCTACGCTGAGGAAATACAACGGCGTCGTGGAGTTCGCTTCAACGCCGGGGGGGTCCTGCGCCTGCCACCTCGACCTCTTCGCCATTCCCGTTGTGGCCACGATTAACTATTCGACGAATAATAAGGAGCTGTTGAACACCCACGAATGGCTCGGGAACGCGGGGAACCGCGTCCTTGTGGAGAGGTCGAGCTTCGTGCAGCCAGAGCAAGAGCAGAGCGCCCCCAGCTAGGGACCGCGGCCATGACTAGCCCCTGGCGCAGGGCCAGGCGCGCCGGCCGGCAGCGACACCTAGGCGGCCTGTCTGCGGGAGGGCGGGGCTGCCTGCCCCGCCTGCAGACCGCTTGCTTCTCTTGGGGACTGCTCGCAGTCATGAATTCGTGCGCAGTCGAAACCGCCTCGCCCACTCGTCTTCGGAGCGGTCGTCCGCGCGCGCGCCGTGCGCGCTCATGCACTGTTCATGTCATAAGTCAGCCGTGGCCGCATACTTCCGCATTCTGATTGGGGCATGCTCAAGACGTCCCGGCCGCTACCCAGCAACGCTCGCGCCCAGGCCACCGTGCCCATGCTCACTCGTGCACAGCCGCTCATACATAGTCATTCGTGCACACTTTCCAATGTTATGTGTGTGTGTGTGTGTGTGTGTGTGGGGGGGGGGCAGAGTGGGCGTGGGCCCGCTGTGACGATCGGGCTACCGCGTGTTGCGGGAGGAGTTATGGGAGTGCGCGGGGTCCGGTGTGGCGCTCGAGATGCCGACTGTGGGAGCAGGGGAACCGCGCCGCCGCGATAGTTCAGACAAGCGCCGGGAGGGCCCGCCCCCAGCTCCCAGGCAGCAGTCGGAGAGCAGACGCCCGAAAAGCTTGGACGCTTGGGCTGTGGCCCGCGTGGCCACGCTGCGCGACGCCCATGGCGTGGCGTTTCCGGACATCGCCGCGAAGGTGCGGAACGCGTCTGGCGAGAACCCCACTCCTCGGACATGCGCAAACGCGTATTGGGCGCTGAAGGCGGCCCGCCAGCGCCCACCTTCGCGCTACTCGAACTGCGGCAGGAGGGATGTCTGGGCGGTCTGCCCGCGAGACGCCCGGCGCGTTGGAACGCCCCGTCGCTCGGGTGGCGGAGAGGCGGTCCGCGCCCCGAGGGGGTCCGCGTCGCCGTTCTGCCGAGACGGGGGGGCGTTCCAAAGGCGCCGGGCGATTTCGCAGCGGGCCTGTTTCCTGCCCGCTGGCGGCCCGTGAAGCTGACGCTGGCGATTGCGAAACGCATCGTGCGTCGCCTCGTTGTGCTCCGCAGGCGAGGACCGTGCGCGGCGACGACGGTGCGAGCAGACCTGGCCCGAACCAAGGGGGTGTCGCTGGACGTGAGCAAGGCGTGGCAGGGCCGGGCATCGGCGACGTTGGCCAGTGGGGCCGCATTTCGATGCCTCGTTGCCGCCGCGCCTCAGTGTGATCACGCGGTGGACACGGCTGGCCGGCGCCGCGATGCCGGCCCCGGTGCCCGACGTCGTCCTGCTGTCTCTGGCTCGCAGGTCCGCCGCGTTCTACGGGAAACCGGGTGCAAGCGGCTCCCCCGCGTGAAGCGACGGGTGTGCACTGCTGACGAGCGCGAGGAGCGGCGGGCTTTCGCCCAGAGCATCGTGGACCTCACCCCCGCGCAGTTCAGGGCGCGGATCCACATGTCCATGGACGGGGTGGTTCTGGCGCTGCCACCGCGTGAGCCCAAGGGGCGGATGGCCTACCTGCGGCAGGGCAAGGAGATGGTTTGGCGAAAACCGGAGGAGCCAGCCCTCTCGGAGACAGCCGGGAGTGGCAACAAGTACGACGGCCAAGTGCCGCTGTCCCGCGCGCTCCCGATGTGGGGCGGCATCAGCGGGGGCGGGGCCGCGCCGGTGATCTTCCATGCGAAGAAGAAGATCAAGAAGGGGGGCTGGGCCCAGGCCGTCCCCGGACACCTCTTCACGGCGCTCTTGGCCATCGACCCAGGTCGGCGGCGGGGCCCTTTCAGGATCCTCTGCGACAGTGAGACGTTTTTGACTTCGAGTGTATGCCAGGGCGCACGCGACGCCAAGAGCATCCGCTTGATGCACGTGCCGGCCCGCTCGCCGGATTTGAATCCGGTCGAAGTGCACTGGTCGTGGCTGCGTCGCCGCTTGCGCGCCCTTGATCTGAAGGGCGCGCAGTGCAAGCGAGAGGTGCCAGGGGCACTCGCCTACCAGCAGCGGGTGCGCGCTGTCATGAAGTCCGCGAAGTCGCGGGCTGTGGCTGGAAACATCATGCGCGGCCCCCAGAAGAAATGCGCCAAGATCGCAGCGCTAGGAGGCGCTGCCGATAGGAAGGGCTAGGGTCGACCATGCGAGTTGCGCTGTCGCGCCACCCCGTCGCCTTGCCGCCTGCGGCCGCGAAAGCCCGGGCTGGGCGGCCAATGCAGCGACGCCGGTAGTCTGCGAAAGAGTGCAAAGGGTTGGCGGGGGAGACGCAGTTCGAAATCCCACTCCGCAGGCCGAAAGATTTTCCTCTTGAGCCCCGCATGTCGGAAGCGACGCGCCGTTCAGGTGAGCGGATTCATGTAGCGCTCGCTTCGAGGTGGGGTAGATGTGTTATGGGTGAAGATGCGGGAGTTGGCCGGGCCCGCTGTGGCGCCCGAGCAAATTTATTTCATGGGGGGACTTTCGGGAGATGGCCAGGCCCGCGGTGGCGCTCGAGCAACCACATGTTATGGGAGAAGAGAAGGGAGGCGGCCGGGCCCGCTGTGGCGCTCGAGCTTCCGACTTGGACACTTTGTGCGTCCTCGCCCTCCCTCATCCCTTCCTCTCCTCCTCCTCCCACTTCCCCCTTCCTCCTCCCGCTTCCTCCCTCCTCCTCATTCCTCCTTCGTCCGTCCGCCTCCCTCCTCTGTCCTCCCTCCTCCCTCATCCCCCTTCTCCTCCTCCTTCTCCTCTTCCTCCCTCCTCTTCCGTCCTCCCCCCCTTGTTCCCCCTCTCTCCCCCCCTGCGTCCCCTCTGTTCTCCTTCCACCTCCTCTGGCCTTTTTCCTTCATCCTTCCCCTCTTCATTCTGGGAAGACCCCCTCCCCCGTATAATCATAGCATTGGTATGCAGATCCACAGTTCCGTGGATGCTGGGGATGTAGCGTGATGCTTCACTTGCGGTGCTCCGCGGATCCAATTTCCCCTGGGTCCCCGATGCTAATTACGCTACCGAGGAACCCCACATACTTATATTATGGTTGGAGTGATGATAGCTGAAAAGAAGCATGTGAGAATGATGTTGGTGGCCGTTCCCTGCGCGCCCCCTCTGATGTCGAGAAAATGACACGCCTGCTGCGCCGTGCGAGCCTGCAACGCATAGAGACCGCACCCCACGCGCACCACCCTCTGTTATCGAGACTTTGCCATGCCTGCCGCGCCCTGCGCGCCTGCAGTGCATAGAGACCGCACCCCCTGTGCACCCCCTCTGGTGTCGAGAATTCCCACGCCTGCCATGCCTTGCGTACCTGCAACGCATAGAGACCGTACCCCCTGCGCACCCTCCCGGTGTCAAGACAATGCCGCGCCTGCCGTGCCCTGCGCGCCTGCAACGCATAGAGACCGCACCCCCTGCGCACCCTCCTCTGGTGTCGAGAATTCCCACGCCTGCCGCGCCCTGCGCGCCTGCAGTGCATAGAGACCGCACCCCCTGCGCACCCTCCTGGTGTCGAGAATGCGCCGCGCCTGCCGTGCCCTGCGCGCCTGCAACGCATAGAGACCGCACCCCCTGTGCACCCCCTCTGGCGTCGAGAAAGTGCCACGCCTGCCGCGACCTGCGCGCCTGCAACGCATAGAGACCGCACCCCCTGCGCACCTTCCTGGTGTCGAGAATGTGCCGCGCCTGCCGTGCCCTGCGCGCCTGCAACGCGTAGAGACCGCACCCGATGTGCACCCCCTCTGGTGTCGAGAATTCCCACGCCTGCCGTGCTCTGCGCGCCTGCAGCGCATAGAGACCGCACCCCCTGCGCACCCTCCTGGTGTCGAGAAAATGCAGCGCCTGCCGTGCCCGCGCCTGCAACGCATAGAGACCGCACCCCCTGTGCACTCCCTCTGGTGTCGAGAAAATGCCACGCCTGCCGTGCCCTGCGCGCCTGCAACGCATGGAGACCGCACCCGATGTGCACCCCCTCTGGTGTCGAGAATTCCCACGCATGCCGCGCCCTGCGCGCCTGCAACGCATAGAGACCGCACCCCCTGCGCACCCTTCGGGGTAGAGAAAATGCCGCGCCCGCCGTGCCCTGCGCGCCTGCAACGCATAGAGACCGCACCCCCTGTTCACCCCCTCTGGTGTCGAGAATTCCCACGCCTGCCGCGCCCTGCGCGCCTGCAGTGCATAGAGACCGCACCCCTGCGCACCCTCCTCTGGTGTTGAGAATTCCCACGCCTGCCGTGCCCTGCGCGCCTGCAGCGCATAGAGACCGCACCCTATGCGCACCCTCCTGGTGTCGACAAAGTGCCGCGCCTGCCGTGCTCTGCGCGCCTGCAGCGCATAGAGACCGCACCCCATGTGCATCCCTCTGGTGTCGAGAATTCCCACGCCTGCCGTGCCCTGCGCGCCTGCAGCGCATCGAGACCGCACCCTCTGCGCACCCTCCTGGTGTCGAGAAAGTGCCGCGCCTGCCGTGCCCTGCGCGCCTGCAACGCATAGAGACAGCACCCCCGCGCACCGCCTCTGTTATGAAGACATTACCACGCCTGCCGTGCCCTGCGCGCCTGCGTGCGGCCGCGGTGGGGGACCACCCCCTGCGCACCCCCTAAGCTCAGCTGTGCTGTGCTGAGCTGGGCTGAGCTGTGCTGTGCTGTGCTGCGCTGTGCTGTGCTGAGATGAGCTGAGCTGTGCTGTGCTGAGCTGTGCCGTGCTGAGCTGAGCTGAGCTGAGCTGAGATGTGCTGAGCAGTGCTGTGAGGAGGAGAGGACGAGTGAGGTGTGTGTGTGTGTGTGTGTGTGTGTGTGTGTGTGTGTGTGTGTGTGTGTGTGGGGGGGAGTGTCGCGGGTGCGGCGCGGCAAGGAAGAAAACCAAAACCCCACGAAGCATGTGGGGAATTATTATGATATATTTACTCCCGGGAAATAAATGGATCCATCGTTTTTTTTTGTGTGTTTTTTTTCCCCCAAACAGGAAGTTTGATCCGCGCAACACAAAAATAGGATCCACGAAACTCTCCCGCACCTGAAAAAAGGGATCCAATTGGATTCGTTGATGTTCCCATAATTTTAGTCCAAGAGGAAAAACTTTTCGGCCTGGGGATGTAGTAGTAGTAGTAGTAGTAGTAGTAGTAGTAG